AATAAAGGCATTGTATTTTCTTTAAGTATTTGCTTTGAAAATATCATTTTTCCCCACTTGCCATTTATAATAAACAGTCAAAATTATATTCCACTTCCCATGGGAAATTCAGTTCCTTCCATTGTATGAGCCCAGCCTCTTATTGTTAGGTTATTCAGGAGTACAAGGCTGTTGGAATGGTTTTGTTTTGCCTTCAGCGAAAGAGCAGCAGCACATTTTGTCCTGACAAACATTGCCCATCCTTACATTGGCAAAGAGGAAGGATCTGGCAGCAGATTTCACTGCACAATGTACATGGATCTAAATCCTGGATGTAAAATTCCCAATATTGTGTGGCTTCCTCTGATTTCCTGACCTCAGCAGTGGCCCAGCAATCAAATGATTATGATTTAAACTTTGTAAGTGTTTAACATACTGTAAACAAAGTAGACAAAGTGAGTTTTTATTTTTAGCTTTGACAGAAATATGTTGATGAGCAAGAAAGCCTGTGTGATATCAGTAATAGTGTTTATTTTTAAAAGGATTTTAAAAAACATTACCTGATCTGTGGTTAAAAGATAACTGAGAAAAACTTATCGATGATCTTCCTGTGATTTCTTGACTTTCCCTCTTTTCACCTCCAAGTCACTGTACATCGTAGCTTGATTTGTAGGTCCAGCTACGTCTGACCACATATTTGTGTGCAAGCTCAATGAAATCTTGTTGTTTCTCTTTAAAGAAAAATAAATGGTAGAATCCTGCTGATGCTGTCTTCATACAGCTGGTATGTTTGTACTTTATAGGAGAGGGAACAATAACGAAGACTATTACTCCTGTGACTCACAGGGATTATGGCAGTTTCAGACTTCAGTGAGACAGGTGCTACCAATGACCGTCAGGATTGAAAAGGACTTTCTGGTGATTTAATTATACATCATTAAGGAAGGCTGCATAACCCTGCACAGAACAAAGCTGGTATGCTCATGTAACCTCATCCTGCACATATCTTTGCATGATGATGTTCATTAGGACAAGAGCACTTAGGGATGACTTCCCTCTTGTAAGTTACACGGAGTGAGTAGAGAATGTGTGATAAAGGTAGAATTGCTAGTAAATGTTCAAGGAATGTCAGTGGGAGTGGTCAGGGTGCTATGCAGTATGCTTAGGGTTAATGCAGCTCGGTCGGCTTCGAGCCTACTGCCTGTGCCACGATCCAGCAGAGCAGAGCTCTCTGCTATTGGCTGAGGGCAGGGGAGGGAGGCAGAGGAGAAAATCCACCGCTTAATTTAGGCAGTGACGAATGGGTTGCTGTGCAGGATGTTTCACTCCTGCATGCCTGGGGTGATGCAGATGCTAAAAAGGGAAATGCGTTTTCTCATTGCATCTTCACAAGCAAGGTGTTGTGGATGGCAGCTCATCCTGGCTTGCATCTTCTAATGAGGCTGCCTAAGGTGGCTGCAGGGTGGAGTTCTTAATCATACATAATATTAGTGTCATGCTGCTTTCCCTTGTCCTGTCCCCCCACTTTTCCCTGCTTTTGGGATGGCTGACTCCACGTTCAGCTACAGCTCTTTTGTCTTTCTTGTCATTTGCTGTTGTATCTGGACACGTAAAACAGCTCAGAAGGGTGTCATATTTGATTCTAGAGCAGAAGTAGCTTAAATATGTGAGGGCATTTCCTCAGATTGAACAGGCCTAGTCAGAGTACAGGAAAGGCACAACAAGTTGTTCACTATCTGGCAGAAAGCTGTTCAGGAGGTTTTTGCTTTGCTGAAAAATGATGCTGTCAGCTAATGCTCATATGAGAGAGGGTAAATTCATCTTTTCTGCACAATATCTGAGCAAGAGGGCATTGCCTGTGGAGGTTACAAGGGAGGGAGTTGCAGCTGTTGGTGCCGCAGGCATCCACTGCACGTATCAACATATGTGTTACTTCACATTTCTTAGGAGAATTAGTGCTGTGGACTGTCCGATCTTAAATATTCCTTCAGCTGAAACAGAATTCCACATATTGCTTTTGTGGTATGCTTTTCTTTATATCCAAAATACTCACTCATGCATTTTAAGCAGTACCTTGCACTTCCCCTCTCCTCTGCACTAAGTTGGCCCAGCTGGATGGGTAGCCGTGTAGTGAACGGCAGCAGTGAACAATGTGGGCTATATGACTGAAAAAGAGCTGAGCAGAGCTTGGGGCTACAGGGGCACAGTCTGTTCAACCCAGGTGGGAAGCCGGAGACAGAACCATGCTGGAAACCATTGAACAAAATTTTGAGGGAGGGTTTTCAGATTTTTGTGTACAGGTTTGGCCTGACATATGGTTGTGGAACCTCACGGTTGTCTTACCTCACGGCCCTTTTGTTTGAGACATAAGCTGGTTATAGGCTAATGCAGGTTGTGCCTAGTGTGATACTGAGACCCTGCCTGATGACATTCAGCCAAAGGCTTTAATATGCTTCATGCAAGCCCAGGGTCATAAATGGCTCTTATTTGTAGAATTTGGATTAATAAATGGGCTTTTCTTTGCCCAACCCTGCTTTATTTGCTCTCTATTTTGGGAGATAATAATTACTAGCTTCTCACCCACATACTGTTCTGCGAGAATTAAAATCAGGTTTACTTAAAAGTCATTTCAGCCTAATAAGACTGCACAGTTTGCTTGCTTTGATTTTAGGCATTCGTTATGTCAGCAACTGGAAATAATGATATTCACTTACTCTTTCTGGGTTCCTTAAAGTGTTTTGCAAAAGTAAGTAAATGTCATTATTGCTATTAAATAGTAAAAACATACAGTCAGCCCCTGGTATCACACATGGATGTAGGAGCTGTCAGTTGGGAAACACCACCTCTGGCTTTCAAGAAGCAAATAAACAGGCCGACATAGTTCGTGGATCTCTCTGTCCTCCATGTTACTGCTATTTCTACCAGTAAAGATTGATAACGGGCTGGGTAGGCCTGCTGTAGGGCAGTTCTTATATTCTGACCACGTCAGAAATATAGTGAAACAAAGAGCTTTGAAAATCTATTCCTTGGTTCCATATCTGTGAAATTTCAGCTTTGCAAAGCTTTTTTGGATAAAGCTGAAAAAAAGCATGGAAAATACAGCAGATTTTTGGAGGGATTATTATACCAGGAATGTATCACAGTTTGGCAAGAGCGTAGGTCAGGAATGTGGAAGCTGGCACAGCAGGGAAAATCAGTTGTGCTAGGAAGCTGAGAAACTGGCTGTTTAAAGCTGCAATTCAGCACCCACTGAGATTAGGGGGAGTTCTTATTTATTGACACAGTTTATAGATAAATGGCACGTTTTCAAGCTGGAAGGAACCCCAAGAAGTAATGTTGTATCCTCCCCAAATCATAGCAAGATTAGTGTACCAAGGGCATGCAGACAGATGTTTACTTGGCTTCCCTCTCAGCCTTGTGCTATAAACTTCAGAGCCTTTCTTGCTGACCTGTTCTAGTCTGTGCTGTCGATATGTAGTAGCACAAAGCATTGAGCTGGCATGTAAGAGCAGAGGGATCCATTCTATGCTGTCAGTACTTGTCATTGCATGGTTTCAATTTGTAACATTTGTCCTCTAGAGCAAAACCCTGGGATTAGACCACTTCTGATTGCTTTTCAAGTTCAAGTCATGTCATTGGTCCCTGATTTGCTCTTTGTTACAAGATATCATGGTGCTTGAGCCCTTATTCTTCAAGGATTTGAGGAGATGAACAATACTGATAGACAATGGACAAATAGCAACCTGGTTAGCAGGAATGCCCATCATACACTTAGGGCTCATTATCCAGCAAACAAAAGCGAGGCTCTCAGTGTCAAAAGGAGTGGTTCCTCTTCCTGTCAGTCGTGATAATAAGCTTAGACTCACCCTTTTGCAAGGTGTGGTGTTACCTGGGCTGTAAAATCACGAGGAGATGGTGTCCAGGCTGTACCTGTTCAGTCAGCTGGAACTGGTCTTGGCTTGTGGCTATCTGTTGGTGTTTCAGGCGTGGGGAGAGAATGTTACATTCATGAAAGGGACATTGATTTTGAGATAATAAAATACAAGAAAAGCTTTGTTCCAGGCTGTCTCCTCTGTGGCTACCAAACATGTCTCAGTTGATGGGCATTCCCTTTCTGCTTCACTGCTCTTGCAGGCCTTCCCTCCATCCCCTGCAGCCAGACACAGAAGTTCTAGCACAGTGCCTGCAATTCAGTGCTGCTTCCCTCATCAGTCTCTTCAGATCTGACCAGGAGATCTCTGAGTATCTTATATCTGAATGGAGAGGAATGGGAGCTCGGGGCTGAAGCAGCTTTGTGATGTGACGTGAGAGATAGTGGCATCCTCAGGGATGGAGGGCATTTGCTGGCTCTGGGCTTCAGGTTTACTGTCTGCCTTCAAGTTGTCTTCCTGAATCACAGAGAAAACTGAGCTATGACTGCCAGGTCCCTGAGTGAGAGTCCTCGTGCCTATTAAAGACTATGAGAGCTGCTGTTTTCCACACCTGCTGGTGGATCACAATATGCCCTGTCATACAGCATTTAGTGCGGTCATACTGCTGTCACCATCACCTCAGTCCCTTGCTAAAAAAACCACTCTGCCTGTTCCCTGGCCGGGATGTGACACCACCACTCACTGTCGGGACGGACGCGTGGGCTTTGCTGCCACCCAACGGGGAGTGCAGGGCTCCCTTCCCAGCACCGCTGAAGCAGTGTGGATCTGAAAAAAACTGATTCCTCTAGAAGGTGTTTTTCTAAGTGGTGCTTTATGTAGCTGCTTCCTAGCAAAATCTGAGGTTTGTACTGATCTTGCCTGGCAGTCATTGAAACACAGCATGAAAAAGAGAAGAGAGACTTTCTGTCCTGTGCTGACTGTCTGTACTGAAAAAGACTACAAGACCTGGGATTCTCTGAGGAGAGGAAGATGTTTGTGTAGCCATGGAATCTTCCTCTTTGCTTCCCAACTGTAGCAATTGCTGTGTGGTTAATGAAGATCAATGAACCAGATAACTGACAACAAATGCAATTGTTTGTTTATTTGCAGATTGTGCTGGCTGTGGAAGAGACATAAAAAATGGACAAGCATTGCTAGCTCTTGATAAGCAGTGGCACCTGGGGTGCTTTAAGTGCAAGGCCTGTGGGAAGGTCCTGACTGGGGAATACATCAGCAAGTAAGTAGCCTCTGCATCGCTCCTGCACTCCTGGCATGAGTTCTTGTTGCCGGAGGGAGAGAGGTTCCAGCAAAGTTCACCCTTCAGAATCCAATTCTGATTAACTTTTCATATGCACCAAAATCTTTGCTCTCAATTGGAGCTAAGCTGGAAAGAGAAAGTATACTGGAAAGGAACAGCTGGAAGGTGGTGATACTCTGTATTTAACACCAGTAGGGAAGGGAGTGTATCTCCACATTGCCATAAGGGGTTGAGGGAACTCCTACATGTGTTTTCTGTGTTAGCTGGATACAGCTTTGTTCTATTTTACTTTTCAACTTTGATGTTGAGGAAAAAGGTAGGAACCTGCCCACTGTTTTCTTTTGCTTGGAAGAGAGTAAATATGATGATGTGATTGACCTGCACTGTTTCTCAACACAAATAAGCAGCTGCTTACTCTTTGCATACTACCAGATTTCTTTGCTAAATGGTTTCCACTCATCCCCATAGGCAGAGTTCCACAGATGTCTCTGGAATTGTACCACCTATAGCTTTAGTTTGGAACAGGTTGTCCAGAGAGGTTGTGGATGCCCCATCCCTGGAGGCATTTAAGGCCAGACTGGATGTGGCTCTGAGCAGCCTGGTCTGGTGGTTGGCGACTCTGCCCATGACAGAGGGGATTGAAACTAGGTGATCAATGTGGTTCTTTTCAACCTAGGCCATTCTATGATTTAGAAAGACTGTTGTTAAGATGAAATTTACTTCGGTGGTTTGTGCTTTGTCTTTCTGAGGTGGAAACTTAAGGGATAGTTATAAATCAATGGTGAGAATATAATTTTTTTTTTCTTCTTTCTTTTGCTACAACATACATCTTTGGAAATCTCTCCTATTTGGCTATTGCAATTTGTAAGAATGCCAATGAAGACAAGGCAAGAAACTAAGTCATGCTGTAACCTGTTTATTAAAAGTGGTTTATACTTTGTGGTTTTTCTTTTTTCAGAGATGGTGCTCCTTATTGTGAAAAGGACTATCAGGTTCTTTTTGGAGTCAAGTGTGAAGCATGTCACCAATTCATTACTGGGAAAGTACTAGAGGTAAGTGCTTTGTAAACTGGAGTTTAAGATTTTGGCCACATCCCATTATGTCTTCACACAACTGCAAAGAATGCAAAAACTTCTCCTAGGAAAGTTTTACTGCTGATTTTAGAGTAAAGGTACTCACTTTCAGAAATATTTTTATATATCTTTTGTTGACTTTCAGTTGGAGACATCAGTGTTCTCTTTGCATCTGGCCAAATCACTTTAGAGCTGTATATCTTACGTTGTCACTACTGTCTCCCATGGCTGTGACTAGTCCTTGTGAGATGGAATCCTTGAACTATGCACAGATCCCTTCGTGTCATCACAAAAATATTTAATGAACAAAAATGCAGGGGTCTTTCCTTGTGCTATTATCATTGAGATGAGAGAAGCAAAACTGCTGCCTCTTTTCCACACAGGATAGCATATTCAGTGGAAAGAACCTGACCTTCAGGCTTACGTCTGGAGCTGGGCTTGTATAGCTTAGTTGCTACTTTAGTGATGTTTAATACTCAGCCCTCCTTCCCTGGGGTAAAAATTAACCCCACATGCACATAAACACAATTCCCTTTACATAATAAAGTAAGTTGAAGAAATGTGAGAAGCAGGAAGAACTTCAGTTACAGGTGTATTTTTTTGAAGAAGAAACTGGATTTATTTATTAGGGAATAACGAAAAATAGTGATAGAGTTACTGAAATAAAAGCAGCTGTAATTTGCTCTTGAGGGTGTATTGCACGTTCTTGTCTTTGTCTACTAGAAGTGTAAGACTGTATCAGCCCTCATCAAAAAAGTTTCAGTTTTGTTGTGCAGTGGTAACAGCTTGACTTTCTAGGAGGTTTAGAATATTAAGCAGGCTGGCTGCCCCCAAATGAAACACTGAGAGCTGTCCCCAAATGAAACAGTTGAGAGCGTGCCCAGTGCAGCTGTCACTGCTTCAACTGAGAGGGAATAGAGTTTTTCAGTTAGCCATGCTCTCAGTCTGCTTCCTTTGCAACATGCACCTAATTCTTTTAGACTCACACAGATAAGTAATGAGAACAGTCTGAGCTTTCCCTCGAGTAGAAAGGCCATGTCTCTGGTTTTTATCTGGAGGTCTACTACCATCTGCTTATCTATTCCCATCTACTGATGAGTTTTTCAGTTTAGTATTATGAATTGGTGACAGTGTAGTTGGAGTGGGAGGCACTGCTGGAGAGAAGTAATTAGATTTGTGAGACTGGGAAGCATAAAATAATTCTAAAATAACTTCAGATGCTATTCCTGCTGTTATTGTATTACTCGGAACTTATCCAATCTGTTGCTCAAAGCAGTGCTGTCTACTTAGAAGCATGGAGATGAAAATAATAAAGTGGAAGATTCTCTGAGTCCGTGGAGAGCTCTGAAAAAATGAGCCAGGTTTAGAGCCTTTGTGGTATGGATGTGAATATAGAAAAGTTGCATTCCTGTTGCTCTTTTTAATATCAATGAGAATGAAACCTAGCTTTCTGAAAGGATCTTGAGCTGTATGCTTTCAGAGCTGAATCAGATGAAGGTGGGAAAAGATTAGTTTAACTGAACTAGGACTTGGCTGTCCATCGTAACCTACTAAAGTTCAGGTTAACAGAGACTTTGTGTCCCACACAGAACCTTGTTGCAGTTGTTTGGGCCAAACTTGGTAGTTCTTCATCTTCTGATGGCTGTTTATTGTAAGAAGAATAGACAACATTTTGCTGAAACAGGAGTAATGGAAAAGGCATCTAACCTCATGTAAGGGTCAAAATTAGAGAAAATAGGGATTTTCCATTTGATTTAGCCTCTGCAGAATCAGAATATCTTTGTGAATTAGAAACAGACCCTTTGATGTTACAAACATATGGAAATATTAATCATGTAATCATCTGAAGTTGTGGTTCAAGCAGAAGTTATAGTCTTACCAAAAGGTTGTGATTATCTGAGGCACAGCCCATAATAATACAGTAGAGGGCAGCAGTAGTTCTCAATATACAAGGAAGACCAAACAATAAAGCCTGTAGAAGCTGACTGACTCACATAACACAACTGTTTCCTGATATGTTTAAATGATGTTTGAAGCTGACTGCTATGTGGCAGGTGTAGACTGGGGCAAGTTCTTAAAGACTTTCACCAAAAAATTTAGTATTCTGTAGTCATGGAGGCCATCTGGAAATTGGTTTAACTGTTAGCAGCATGGATAGTCTGTGAATACAGGTCTCCTGGTATCGACTGGGAATGCAGGTGTGGGAGAGATATTTAAGCACTTTTTTTCATTAGACTGCACTTGAAAAGATGCTCAGAGAATACAACTGATGTTCAATAATATGTTAGTGGAACTATGGACTAGTTTCTTGGCTCCTCCTTAGAAGTCTTTTATACTGTCAAATATCACATTTTCAGAGGGGCAGTACTAATGCCTTTGAATTAGACTAAAAGTGTAGTAAGTGGAAACTTACGGTGAGAAAATCATGTCAGCATATGTGTCCCACTGAGCAGAAAAGGTAGTTTAGAGGATAGGGTCAGTGCATGACATAAATCCTCTGGTAACAAAGGAGATGAGAGATCAGAAGCAGCCAGGGCTGCTTGTCAGTTACATGTTTGTTCTGTCAGGAGCAATATATACTATTTGGTGATCTTCATCTGAAGAGATGATTTGCAGATTGGAGGGAGGTAGGTATGTGGCACATCATATGCAGACACTTCCCTCTCGTGGATCAGAAGCAATCGGCAGCATGCTGGTTTTCCTAAATGGAAAGTTGGTAAAAAAGCAGGAAAACAAAACAAACATGAAAACATGAAACTGAGCTTTCTTTGTGGAGGCTGGTGCTATCTGCTTCTTGAGTAAGAGTTAAAAATTTTTAAAGAAAAATTGAGATGCTGTGTGACATTTCAGACTTGCAGCTCCTGGTTGCTTCTGTCCCTTGCTTAGCACCTCTGAAAAATCACGCCTTCAAACTTCTACACTGAGCAGTCAGTAAGGGAGACAACCACTGATGAAGATGATGTGAGCCAAAGAGTCCTCATCCCAGAGGGCACCGTCAGCAAACTGGGTTGGAATAGCTGATGTTTCACAGAACATAGAATTCCTTAGGCTGGAAGGGATCTTAAATCACGTTCCGTTCCAGCCTGCTGCCATGGGCGGTTGCCACCCACCAGATCAGGGCCCAGAGCCCCATCCCACCTGGCTTGAGCACCTCCATGGGTGCAGCACCCACAGCTTCTCTGGTCAGCCTGTTCCAGTGCCTCAGGTTTGAGTTCAGGCCTTGAGAGGACAGAGTTTCTCCAGCCATTCTGTAAAAATAATTTATTTGCTCAGTTTTAAAATCCATTGCTAGAAAAACTGTCTTTTTTTTTTTTTTGCTTGTATCCATGTATCATGCAAGAAATTCCTTTTTTTCTGACTATTTGTGACCAATTTCAATAGCTGTAAAAATTATGATGTACATTTAAGTCAAATCAGATATTTGTCATGTTATTTTGTACGTAACTTCCTGTGACAGATAGCTGCAAATAATAGATGAGTCTGCATTCCACCACAATGAACGTGATGAGAATTTCTCTAATGAGAAATCGGTGCTGCAACTTTTCTTTGGAGTACAGATACTTCAATACTTGAAAAATTTCAGGCTACCGTTGTCAAGGCAACAGAGACCAGTGTTGTTCCTTGGTTTTTCCAGCAGAAAGAAACCTTCATTTGTGGAAAAACTACCGATTTCCTTTTAAGTACAGGGAAACACATTTATTGTCAAACAATAATGGCATAACAGGCAGCCCTCACTATCGTTACACCTTCCACTATGCTATTGTTTTCATAGCTTCAAGGCTTGCCCATTGAAAGATGCCCATCTGATCCTAATCCTACAAATATCTGTGTAGATGGGTGAACTGCTGCATGTATTTAGCTATTTTAAAGACACCGGCTTAAATCATTTTTGTCTAATGTGTTTATCATACACAATATAATTATTCCTCCAGGGCTTGATTTAAAATATGTTAAATCACGGAGAAGCTTTCCATTGAAAGCTTCAGAGTACAGTGGATCATGCCTATATTCATGCATATCATTTGGGCTTACCTAAAGTGTTTTATGAAGCTCCTAAGTAGTTCCTAAGCTCCTTTTAGTTCTGCAGAAAGAAGACAAGGTGAAAACAGGTGAATAACTTCCATGAAATCAAACAAAGCCTGAAAATGAGAATCAGGTGTGCCGATTTTCACCGGTTCTCTTTTGTGAGGGTGTTCTTTCTTTATAGTACTGTTGTTTTTTGCTGTAAATGCTGTGTATTTGATCTCATGATCGAGATATATACAACTTACATATCTTGATCATGATCAAGATATATACAACTACCATATCTACTGTCAAATCCCACAACCATCTGGCTACTCTACACATTTGTTTTTTTAATGCTACTCGCTTGTTATTCATTAGCAAATATAAAACCATTTTGTGATTTTTTCCTGGCAATGCATGGCTTGAGTTCCTGTTCTGGTGGGCTGTTTCCTGAGCCCTGCTGAAACTTGCATGCCACCTTCTAAGCAGTGGCACGATGCCATTTTAACAGATGGCCCTGCAAAGAGAAATGTCAGGGAACCAGAAATCTCCTTTGACTTCACCCTGCACAGCCAAGTTTTACGTATTTCAATACAGGTATTTATTCTGAACTTCCCCTTATTAAAAAGAGGCTGAGTATACTTAAGAGGTAGCATTTACCATGAAGGAAGCTTAGTACTTCTAGATGTTGTTGCTTTAATGTGCCAGAATTTAAAGATGTTTAATCTGTACTGCATGTAATTCAGAGATGCTAATTAGAAATTAATAATAATTTAAAAAGAAGAGAGAGAAAAGGCTGCTATGGAAACTGGAAACTGGATCCGTATTTAAAGGCAAAAAAATGTGAGCCTGTATGTTTGTTCAAGTGTTGATTTCATGGCTAGATTTAGTAGCTCCCATGAAATCATCATTTTTGTCTTGCAAAGATCCATGGCATACAGGTTGTAGTTCAGTGTTGCAGTACATTCCTG